ATGTGCTTATGATTGTGAAAATTCCACTATGGCATACACGATAAGAAATACAAAAAAACTCGCTGGGCAGATAACTGCTAAGCTAAACTTATATTTACTTTTGTGCTGATGTAGTGAATCTAATTTTACGTGCAAAAGAAGAAAATAACACGTGCTATTATAATCAAGATACTCTCGCATTATCTTATCAAAGCTTACTCGTAGTGAAGCATCGACGGACGTGTTTATGATATTTATCTTTTTTTTTTAACAATAATAATGTGTGTATTAAATCGATATCTATCTAAATTGCTTTCTCGAAATCTTCGAAAAGATAAGCATAGTTGCATTCTTGCCGGAAATAATATAAGTGTAACAGTGTTATCTTTTTTTTCTTAGTGAAATACTTCAATTAGTTGAATTTACATGCACTTTCATTTTACACACAGGATTTATTACGATCCTCGTTTTTTTCGTAATAAATAACGTATACTGTTTAAGATTCGCACGGTGTGAAATATGGATTTTGCAAAAGAATATCATTTTTTAGGTACTTAAAGTCATATTCGAAGAGGATTATAAATTTCTCTTATAAACGCGTATGCAAATATACAGTCTTGAATAATGGGCACATTATAGAGTGTGCAAACTACATTTTATCGGTGATCTCAAAGGAAAAAAAAAATCGAAAGTACTAGGCTGTTTTTTTATTACTCGCTTATTTGAATTGTTTATAGATAAATTGTTCAGGTTTGTTAGCATACGTAAATTAGCGTTGTTTACACGTGAAAGCATAATACTTTGTATCTGGCGGCAAGTAACAGCGCCAAAAGGTAAATAAACATAATAACAACTATAGGTATATTATATAACGTCCTCTAAACGTTTATCACGGCTAAACAGCGTGACTAATAAAAGTTGTAAATAACTGCACACCAGCGAAGTAGCCCAGCTCGACAACAAATAAAAAAATAAAACTCGCAAATGCAAACCGTATAATTGTGATGACAATATAATGTAATAATATGTAAATCAAATTTAGACATGTGATAACCGTTTGGAAATAGATATTTTGATGAAGATTGGAATTAATAGATTTTCAGAATCTAGAATCTCTGCATTTCGACACGTGTCAGTTATTCTGTCGCGAAGTAATAATCATAACAAGTTGTTTTCGTAAGTAATAATAACTCTAAATCTTGTGACACGTGCTTAAAATGCGATTTCACTTCAGTCTGGTCGTCATCATAGAAATCGCGTATGTACATACAGTTCGAGATTCGGATAGCTGCAACTTTCAACTTCGGAAACGTAAACGTAAACGAAATTTTGCCAGTGATTCACTGTTTTGAGTGTGTGATAGCGGCCGCGAGAGATGGCCACTTACCGAAGGTGCGCTTTTTCGTCCCCTTTCTTCTCGTCCATTCGAAAATCGGCGTCAGCTTTAAAGTCGGGCCGCTCCCGGTCGACTTTCAACGCGCGATTTCGCGAGGCCAAGCGAGACGAAGCGAGACGAGGCGAGGTGGGTGAGGTCAGGTGAGGTGAGGTGAGGTGAGGTGAGGTGAGGTGAGGTGAGGCGAGGTGAGGTGAGGTGAGGTGAGGTGAGATGAGGTGAGGTGAGGTGAGGTGAGGTGAGGTGAGGTGAGGCGAGGTGAGGTGAGGTGAGGTGAGATGAAGCGAGGCGAGACAAAGATATTCGATTTAAATGCCTCGTCTCCCGTATTACGTGGCACAGCATGCAAGAGACGCGGTTTAACTCCGCGACGCGAGCGATAGTCCTGACGACTGTTAAGGACAAACTTAATAATAGTCACGGTAAACCGATGATATGTGATGCCCGTGAAACACGATTGGCTGCCTAGCGATCAGCAATTTCTCGGCGATTGGCTACTTTATGCATATATCGACAACGATTAGAGCCGTGTGTGCAGGAAATGCATGTACCAGAAGCGATTAGAATGCTAGATTTAAATGCGCGAGAACGAAAGCAAAACGAATGCAATACGTATTGTCTACGATTGTAGACAAATGACAATATGACATTTAATTCGATTAGCATTTGATATGAAATTTGATATGAAATGAAATAAAGTTAAGAAATTTTGTAAATTAGAATTTTTACTTGTTCAGAAACGCATATTTTGGAATTTGAATAAACTATCACACATACTTTCGATGAGGGTGACAAATCGTCAAAAGCGATTGGAATCCCGTAGATTTTTAAAAAGCAAGAATGAAAATCAGATTGTGTAATGATAAATAAAACGACAGGACGATATAGAATTTGATTTAACATTTACTACATAATTAAGTTTAGAATATTTCGAGACTCATTTGAAAACATGTTTTGAAACTGGAAATTGATAGCCACTAAAAGCGATTGGAACGTTGGATTTTTAAATACAAGAATGCAAATAAGACCGTATATGATAAGAAGATGGCAAAATGGCGTAATTCAATTAACATATGGAATTGAATTTAGAATTTTCGATGTTCGCGTTTGGAAACAAGTGTTTTGAAATTTGAAATTAAAAAAACACTAGAAGCGATTAGAACGTTAAATTTTTAAACGTAAGAATATAATGACAAATAAGAATAAAATGACAAGATGGTAAAATGACATTATTTGTTTAATACCTTTGGTATGAAATAAGTTAAGGTATGTAATAAGAATTATTTGGTATAAAGTTTATAAACTTGGATACTCGTTTCAAAACGTATGTTTTATCGATAGACAACTAGAAACAAATGGAATATTGTAATGCGTTAAATTTAAGAACAAAGGTAAGAGATACGTCTAAAAAAATCAACAATAATTTGCGAGAGCTTAAAGAAACAATATCATTTTGTAACAATCCAATGATTTTGAAATTTGGAATTAAGGGGGAGCCTGGTTTAGCACGCTGAAAAATTAGGTGTTTTTTTGGAATTTTTTTTTTAGGAAGCTATTCAATTCCTTTGAACTTTCTAGGGTAATTTCTTGTACTATTGAACTAACAAAAAAATATTTTTTTACCAGAAAAAGTATTTATTATGCAAATAATAATAACATTTATTCGGCGGTGATGGTGTTTGGCGGTGTGCAAGATAACTCAAAAACTATTCATCCGATTGATTTGGGCTTTTGCACACATCTGCACAAATACTTCCCTAATAACTTGAACCACAGTTTATAATAATATTATTTAATTAAATAATTTTTATTACATAATAAACACGAAAAATTTTTTGCCAAAATTGCTACCTTTTTTTCCAAGTGTCGCGATTTTCACAATTTCGCAGTATTTTCTTTAAAAATAGGTTCAGTTAATGCATAAACTCTTAATAAACAATAACCTTCTGGATTTTTTATTTCAGACAAATACAGGCGACGCTATATTGCACGCTGCCCGTCGATGCAGCGAATAAAAAGTTTTATCACTTGCATAATAAATACTTTTTTTCTGGCAAAAAAAATTGTTTTGTTAGTACAATAGTATAAGAAATTACCCTATAAAGTTCAAAAGGATTGGTTGTATAGTTTCCTAAAAAAAAATCCAAAAATCACCTAATTTTTCAGCATGCTAAACCAAGCTCCCCTCTTAATAAAGATGCATTACGATAAAACTTGCAAGAATAAACTAAAAAAAGACTTAGGGAAAAATTTGTACATCAGTATTCGTAAAAGATAAGCTATTGCATAAGATATCATTATGCATCATGCACGTAGCTTATAACAACTTACGTACAACAGTTTAGTTTTATTTATAACAATATTAACGCGTGCGAGTTTCCCAAAACTTTTAGTATATACTTTTTTTTAAGTAAATTTTGTAAACTAACAATAAGTATTCAAATGTTCTATCTGACAAGTCCCTCTGTCGTTTTCTTTACACATTCTTGTTACGTGAGATTTGCTCTCGTATGACTTACTCGCAATTCTCTCCACGCACATTCTTCCAAAATCTCTCGTGATGAGTGAAAGCGCACCTCGTCAATTGATTGCAGCGCAATCACAAAAGTGTGTGAGTTGGCACCCCTAAATGCGAATTTTGACAAAACCTGTATGGCATTAGATTGTCCACAATTTGTTCATATTTGTCCAATAATAATAATTTTTTGTCCACTCTTTTAAAAAAAATTTAAAAAAAGAAAAAAAATTTTAACGTAAGGACCCCTAAGTGCATTTTTTTAAATCATAGGTATACGGGATTCGATTGTCCACAATTTGTACGCATTTGTCCATCAATAATTGTCAATAATTTGTCAATCATTTTCTGTCCACCTTGCTACAAAAAATTAATCGATTTCTGTATGTAAGTTAAAGATAATAAACGCACTTATCAGTGGTCGTGACAAAGTTTGCTCTAACTTTTCATTTGTTTATAATTTCGTTTAGCAAAGTGGATAAAAAAACAATTATTTGTGAATATATGCGGACAAATTGTAGACAATCGAATCCTGTATGTAATTTGAAGATAAATTTACTTATGAGTGTTTCTGGTAAAATTTGCTTTAATTTTTTGTTTATAATTTTTTGCAGCAAGATGGACAAATGCGTAGAAATTGTGGACAATCGAATCCCGTATATAATTAAAAAAAAACGCACTTAGGGATTCTTACGTTAAAACTTTTCTTTCTTTTTTTAAATTTTTTCCAAGAGTGGACAAAAAATTATTATTATTGGACAAATTGTGGACAATCTAATGCCATGTAGATTGTGTCAAAATTTGCATTTGGGGGTGCCAACTTCACACACCACAATCACAATGATAGCCAGAGATCGCGGAGTTGTGGAAACTCTTCCTGTTTACTTACACGCTATAAGTATTTAACGAGTCGCAATTATCGAACACAACGTCGCACGGTAGTAAGAAAAAAAGAAACGCTCCACGTAAAAACATAACCTAATTCCGGGAGGGGAGATTCGCGGAGTCGGAGAACTCCGGATTATCAGGCGCGCGCGCGCACACAGCCCTCATATAAGGGCGTTTCGCGTTTACGGTCGGATGGAATCGTGTCGCGAGAGATGTTTTTATTACCTTAACTCGTGATTGCTTCTCTCGGGGATCTCCGATCAGTCCCCGATCGGCTGCCTCTGACAAAGTGGCTGAAGCGATCGCGGGATTCGTGGGACTCCCGCTGGAGTCCGCTGGTGGATGCCGGAGATGCGATCCTCTGCCACCTCGTCCTTAGGAATAATCCCGCTGTCGATAATTCGCCGTCGACAATCCCACCAGGCTACGAATCGTCCACCACCGCCGCATCTCATCCGGCTAATCCACCGCGGCACCTCCTCACGATCAATCAAAGGACACGGGTCTTCGCAAACGTATGAATATAACCGACACAACGGCACTCGGACGCGTCTCACGGACGCGCAACGCGTTCAACGTTGTAGAAGCACATACGTACAATATACAACGCGTACACCACCTGCGTGCGTACAGCTGTACGCCACCATACCGTTCTACGGTTGACGTCGTTCAGACGAGACTCACTTTGACGACCACTGCCGCTGTCAGCCGCAGTCGACTCGCTTTTGTTTACTTTCGACGGCCCCCTGTCGGCCTATCACCGGAGAAAAAGAGAGAGAGGAGAGAAAGCGCGCGAGAGGGACGGAGAGAGAGAGAGAGAGAGAGAAGATAAGGAATGTCCGCGAAAAAGAAGGTCCACAGGTAGATGTATTGACTTTTCGTCGGCCTTTCGGGACAGTGACAGATTATGATGGTTTGATTTTCGCCAGGAACAAACCGATCTTTCGAGATTGTAAAACTACCTTAATCTCGCCACAGATTATAGTAAGTGAAGATTGCTTGACAGGTATACCGAGTATCTCCCAGTATCACATCCCAAGAATCTCGGCAATAATTTAAAATCGAATTATGAGGGACGTTAATATGTATTTACGGCTGCAGATTTACAAAGTCGTTTCGCAGCTGTTTTCGTATAATTGAAAATAAAAGAACATCATTCAAATTTAAAAAAATATGTCGAATGGTGAACTACTTATATAAGCGGAAAAAGTTTAAAAGTAATTAAGATTGTTGAGTTCTTGCACGTACGTTATAAAATTCTTGACGAGCATTTAATTCGCACTTTAATTAATAATACATTTTTCCAAGAATTTTTGTATCTACGTAATACTACTATTATATTGCGTAACAATTTTATCATCGACTGCAATTAATTTAATTATTGCAGTTAATTCACTACAGTGAAAGAATAATATATCAGTTGGACGTTATCATGACAAAGTTATTATTATAATAATAAAGTCATGAATCACATATAAAAGAAAACTTACAAATAAATAATTAAAAAAACGGCAAATTCTTTCTACGTTTGTCATATTATTTGAAAATATAAAATTATTAAATAACAACAGAGATAATATCGAAATAGATAATGAAGCTCGTTTTCGGAAGTCATCTGTTTTACCGACTAAACACGATAAATTTCGTACCAAATACGTATATATTGCTTTTACAGATTTGAAAATTCTTTTCCAGAATTAAAGTAGACAATAACGGAATGCGGATGAAAATAATGAAATTATTTTGTACGACAAAAATTTGAAAAATTATAATTTTGTTCTTGACTTCCGGCGACTTTTGTAACATTTGCTTGATATAATAGAATTTAACATTTTATATTTTATACGTATAAAACGAACTTCATCCGCATTGGTTGGGATTACATGCGAAAGAATAATACTGTGTTTTGACTAATATATGAGCCCAGCTTTAGTATATAAGATGATTATATTCATACAAAAGAAACTTTTGTATGAAAATATGTATGCATGATATGCATATAGTTAGTAACATCACATTATTACACAGTCACACTACTACATCAATATCGTATGCATATATAAATACAAATGATCAGTAAAACAGCGATGTCATAAAATTTGCAATATGTAAATGTAATATTATACATATATAAAATATATTTTATAAATATTAAGAGGATGCTGAAAGGTCGGAAATTACCGACATTTGCATTCTAAGTAATAACTCCGAAACGACTGAACGGATTTGAAAACGCTTTTACAGAGGATTGAAATTGAGATAAAATGTAAACATGCGAATTATACATTTGTAGTAAAAACGAAAAAATATTAAAAAATTACCTTTTTTCCGTATTGTAGAGCAATCATAACCTGTCACCTGACGTAAACATTTCATTGATACAAAAGTTCTGTAGCTCATATGTACAAAAAAAGTAATTCGCGCGAATCGGAATACTTGCACGAATAATACAAGACCTTTGGAGCAACGAATGGAAGCGTAGAAAAACAATTATTACTTAGAATGCAATTTGTGGTAATACGTACGCTCGGCTAAAGTAAAGATAGCAAAAATTGCGTCTGGCAGTAAGTGCCGGATTTTCCAAGAGATGGCACTTCAATAAGTTAGATAAAGACATTCCACGTGTTTGAGTGAGACCAA